AGGTTTGCTGCAGTTTATTTTTGTCAGTTTATTATTTATTTTCTACTCCCAATTGCACTGGGTCACAAATACTGACAAGTTCCACCAAACGTGTGTCTTTAAGTGATGAAATACATTTTTAATTTGGTACATTTGCATCTGTGCTTTTAAAACAAAGAACTTCAATTCAGCTGCTTTTCTGTATCAGTGTCAGCCGATACTGAACCTCAGATATCGTTATCGGTATCAAAAGTGAAAAAAGTGGATCGGTGCATTGTGTACCCTTATACTTACATTTTTAAATGATTTAATTCTGGTTTTTGTTTGTTATTACAATTTTTGTCATCAGAATGATAAAAAATCATCACATTTTATATTATATGCTTCTCTGTTAGTCGTAGTTTAACTAAAACCATCTCATTTCATGAGCTGAACACAATAATACATCATTATTTATTACTAATTTTGCTTTTTAAATTAAAAGTTGTGTTTGGAGGTTTAATCATCCAGAGCTGAGCGTCTCTCTTCTCAGAGGACTGACTCACGCGCAGCAGGGATCACACAGTTCGGCTTTTTATTAAAAGCAGGAAATTTAACGCCAGCTGTGAGTCAACAAAGTCTGGATCCAGAACCTCCGCGCTGCATTTGCTCGCTCCGTTGAGACTTGTTGAGTCTGGTTTCGAGACACGAGTCTCTAAACTAAACATGATAAGAAACAGAAGGAAATCCACGAGCTGGAACCAACTTTAGCAAAATCACGTTTGATGTATTATGTAATGCAGCTGTAAATTCTGCATCTTTAATGCGCCACATCTGCATTTTATCAAATTTCACACTGAGATGAGAGGAAGCAGAACAAAGGGGACATGGCACATGTCTTAGATTTTAATTTGTGTTACATTGCTGGTAGAGCTGACACCACTAATCATAATTAATCATTAGTCGTGATTAATGGTTAATCGTTAAGTGAGATAGTTGGATATATTTAGCAAAAACTATACAAAAAATTTAAATATTTCACATTTAAGATGAAAGAAATTAGTCTGTGAATATGTTCTACTCATAACTCCTCAAGTGGCATAAAATAAGAAAATCTTTTTTGTCCAGTTATTAATTAGTTAATAATAAAACAATCTAAATATATCTCTCTACACTGTGCTAAATGTCAGATATTAAGGAAATAAAATGCAAATTTTATTATTTATAAAAGCAAATATAAATTGTTTTTATTAAAGTTGGGTATTAGTATTTTTTACTTTACTTGTTGGATATATTTAGCAAAAACTGAGTGATTTTATTATGTAGTATTTTTGCTCTTACTTGAATAAAATGTCTGGATTTTGTACCCACTGAATGAAAAACAAACATATTTTAACCAAAAATACACCAGACACAGACACACAGCTGCAGTTTGTGTCAAAGTTTTATAAGTTTTTAATTGATTAGAAAAATCGCAATTGCTTGATTTTGTTATTTATATAAATTATTGTCATTTTTGTCCTTAAAATAGCTACATTTCCACTTAACTTTATATTTTGTTCTGCCTGATTTTTGTTAAATATTGACTGATTGATCATTTGATTGGTTACTTTTTACCAAATACTTTTGTACTCTAACTTCAGTCATTTCTTTGATGGTTAATATTTATTTATACTGGAATAAAAATAAGTTGAAGCAGTTTTTCTTTTACTTGAGGACAATTGTTTTCAATATTGATAAGATAATCTGCAGAATGTAAATCAAACTAATAGATTGAGTAACCGATTAAAATAATTGTAATAATATGTAACTTTAATATGCTAATTAATATTAAAATAATTGTTTCCCAGCATTCAAACTGGTTTCTGCGCTGACTCTCTGCAGGAGTCTTTACTGGACCGACTGGAACCGAGAGGCGCCAAAGATCGAGACGTCCACTGTGGACGGTCAGGGCCGTAGAGTGGTTGTGTCCGACGGCGTCGGGCTGCCGAACGCGCTGACCTACGACCTCTCCGCTGGGCAGATCTGTTGGGCCGATGCAGGTAAACATCCCAGGTTTGTTCTCTTCACTTCCTGAAAGCAGCATTGATCCAGAATCGATTCTGTTTCCATCAGGCACCAAGCGTTTGGAGTGCATATCTCCAAACGGATCCGGCCGCAGGGTGATCAGCTCCGACCTGAACTACCCGTTCAGCATGGTCTACCATAGCAACCACTTCTACTTCAGCGACTGGAGGAGGTAGCCATCTTTGACGAGCCGTCAGTCTGTTTCTGTGACCGGTTCGTAACCTCTGGGTCGTCACAGGGACGGCGTGATCGCAGTCGACAAAGGCAGCAGCAAGTTCACCGACGAATACCTGCCTGAGCAGCGGTCTCACCTCTACGGCATCGCCATAGCAACCAGCCACTGTCTACCAGGTGAGATGGGATGGAAAGTCTTCAAGTGGCACCTTTATTAACTTTCCTAAAATAAATGTAGATCTAGATCAAGAGATCAGCAGATTTTATAACCCTGATGAATCAGCCGATCTTCTCTGCACTGCAAAAACACAAAATATTAACAAGTATTGTCGTCTAGTTTCTAGTGAAAATATCTTAATATTTATCAAATAAAACAAAACTAACTTATAAGCAACTTTTTAGTAATGATATAAGAGCTTGTTTCAAGTAAACAATTTATTAAAAGTGATAAAAAAGTTCTAGTTCACTGGCAGATTATTTAACTTATAACATTTTTCTCATGTTTAAGTGAATTTATCTGCCAGTGAAACTAGAACTTTTTCTTCAATATTAAGTATTTACTTGCTGAACTTTTTTGTTTAGACATTTCCATTAGAAACTAAACCAAAAATAATTGCTAAGATTTTGTGTTTTTGCAGTGAAAGGTCTAAAAATCAACTTCTGTCCTCCGTTTCTCAACAGACTCACATCTGCTAAGAAATCAGTTAATAATTAAGTTTAATAACCTCAGCAACTTTTTGCCATATTTTGCAAAATTTCAGACAAAAAAATCAGTTCTGGCCAAATTGGACCAAAAAGCTACAATCAGTTCAACTCCAGATGCAACATGGCTCTTCAAAATAAAATAGCTTGTTTTTATCTAAAAGAGAGAAATATATATTTTAATGTCCTTTATGTGCATAGTCACCTTCAAAAGTAAAACATTGCTCAATTGTTTAGCACCGCTCATTAGAGACAAGATCCACCTGGCCTGCCGGTGACCGTCCTGACACACAGCAGCCATGATTACACCATCGCAGACGACCCTCTGCCTGTACTTTGACTGGGTCATCATGTCTGACATGTTAATGTGTGCAGATGTCCTCAGGGCTGTTTCTCAAACACCTTCAAAGTGCGACGCAGCCTCTGTAAACACAGTTTAATGCCCAAAGTGGCACCCTGGCAGATGTCACACATCTGGATTGCCATGTCCGCCGCTCCCTTCAAAGGCGGCTGATGACAGCTCTCCAGCGCTCATGCAAGGCGTTTGGGGAGACTTTAAAGCCGCCGTTAGCTGCTGTTCTGTTATAAATGTGCTGCAAGACTTTGTCGAGATTCAACTAATGTAAAAAAAAAGACAATTTCACAATTATATTAAATCCATTAAATACAAAATTAAATTAAAAGTACATGTGAAGTTTGTTCAGAAGTTGTTAAAAACTATCACAACATCCTTCTACTACTTCCTGTTGTCTTTTTTTGTCATTTCTGTCAGTAGCAACATTTAGATGTTGATCATGTGACTCATGATTTGAAAAATGTTTCCATTGAGCAGATTTATTTTTATATTTCCAATTTCCACACTTATTTGGTCAACAGCAGCTGTTGTTGAAGACGTCAACAAATTGAAAACTTGTTCACTAAAGGGAACAGAGGCACTAAAAACATTCAGATTTACACAGGAAGGGAAACCTGACTTCCTCCTCTGACTAATTAGACGTCAGGGAACTAATCTTCTGCTCTCGTTTCACAGGGAGCCTCTAACAACGGACCAACAGTCGCTGGATGGAAGCAAGAGTTACAACCCTCACTGTCCTCACCCTCAAAATATAACCCAAAGTAAATGTCTTGTAAATTTGTTTTATACCTCAGTTTTTTCTACTGTTTTGAGTAATTTTGTTTTCTATCAAAGCTACAGAACAAAAGATTTTAAAAGTTTTTCAATCACTTAAAGGGAAGTACAAAGTTGGAAGCAGTTAATCAACTTTGAATTTCACTGAATTGGTGTAAAACGTTGATGCATTATTTGTGCCGCTATCATTTTAAAGAGATTAATAAATGTTTCCAGAGATCATCGAGTTTAGTTAAAATCTTTAAAATTATGGTGGCGCAAACTAAAACGTTTGACACCAATTTAATTCTGCAGTAGGTTTTAATTTAGAATAAATTTTGGTCTATAGCCGGTTAGCTGTTAGCTTTAGCGTCTACTGCAGGTAAGATATTGACTGCTTTTAACTCAATGGAAGCTGGAACAGAACACTAACAGCATCAGGGTTTTTCTGCATCCAGTTTCTGTCACTTTTTAAGTAATTTGGGCGCTTTCTTATTAATTATGATTTGGATTCAGCAGTATTAGTATTGCTCCAGAGCCAGGAGACGGTAAGTTAAGCTGCATGTCGCCAAGAACTACAAGAAATGTTGGTTTTATTTAGTGTTATTATTTCTTTGCGTTAGCTTCAGTTTAAAAAAACTGCAGCTTGGACAAAGCGCTTGAATCTGCGGTTCGGACATAAATGGTGCCAATCAGACTGATGCCAGCAGCAAACCTGTTTTATTAATAATAAAATAAATGTTTGAAATGAAAAAGCAGCAAAACTCACAGATCGATCGCAGCAGCTGCAGTCCTGGATTTCCCACAGGAGAAAATGTCGTTTTATTTTGCTGAATATTTTGACATTTTAAACCTTTTCTTTTTAACGAGATGTGATATTTATATCAATAAAATGTGATTTGATACAAGTTTTTTTTGCTGTTGTATAAATCACATCCTATGTGATTTTAACTAACTCAAAATGAACATTTATTCCAAAAAAACTCAAGAGTTCAACACAATCCTCCACCTTTGAGGAATTTTATTTCTTTACCAACAACAGTTTCCCTTCTTTAAGAAAACAAATCTTTGCATCTGAAACTTGGACCTTTGCTCCGTTTGTCCAAATTGGCCCATCTCATGAAACAACCGAAAAAAAAAAAAAACATTTCCTTCAGATGTCTTTGAACAAAAAAAGTCGCTTTTCTCTGCAAATCAACTCCAGCGACCTTGGCCTTTCATCTGCCGACCTTGCCCAGGCGGTGGTCCGTCTTGGGGTCGGCTATGATGGCCTGGACGGCGACGATGGCCTCGTTGATCTTCGTCTGCAGCTCCCGCAGCTCCTCGATGTGCAGCAGTCGCAGAATCTGGGCCGCTTCGTTCAGGGTCGCGTCTGCCGGGGGGAGGAGCGCCGTTACAGAACGTGTTTGAAACCAGGAAAAGAAAAACCAGGGGTTTAACCTCACTCACCTCCAGTGTCGAAACCCAGAATGTGTTTATCCAAAGCGACCGGAACACCCTGCAAAGAACCGTTTTTAGTTTTAAATGAGAGTTGAGATATTCACGCCTGTCCTCAGCTCACCTCTCTGTTCTGGCTGGCCTTAGCGATGGCCTCTGGTGAAAGTCTCTCCTGGATCAGGATTCGGATGGCCTGCCAAGAACAGGAAGATGCACTGATTAGAGAGCATTGCTGCAACGCCTAATAAGGAAATCAAACTTAATTCTTCTGATTGGAAAAAAAACAACAACTATGTTAATCACATGTCTTACGATTTGTGGCAGGACCATTTAGTAGTTATGTAGTAACTACTTACATTGACTCAATTATATGTATTTTTAGGACGGCATAACTTTTACTTGAGTGAAATTTCTGGATTTTCTACCCACTGAATGAAAAACAAACCAAACATGACTCACACCAGGTAAAGTTTTATACATTTTTTATTGAAATAAATTGACTTCTTTTGCCTGATTTTGTTGCTAATATGAATTATTGTCATTAAAATACCAAAATTTCCATTGACTTATATTTTAGTCCATCAATGACATAATTTTTAAATATTAAATGATATTTTGAGTTGAGGTTTTGTGTAGAAATGTGCTGAAGTATTGCTACTCTACCCAGCTCTGTAGTCTATGTAGTTTTAATTTTTCTTGCAGTTGTGTGACTTTGTGTGGGTCTTTCCATTAAACCCCCCAAAATACAGACTGTTTCAGATTCTTGTGGATGACATCACTCTCTTCTCACCTTTAGCATGACCAGGTAATCGTCATGCCGCTGGATTTTGAGGATGTTGGCCAATGCTGTGACTCCTGCTTTAAAATCTGGGGAGTTACCTAAAGGAATAAGAAAAACAGACGTTATAATTAACGTAAACAGTGAAAGGAAAACAGAGACGGGGGTTTACTTACTGTCGAGGTTGACGAGAGGATCCACGGCTTTATCGCTGTTACTGGACGAGTCCAGCGGCTGACAGTTCTTATACTTTTCAACTGTATAACAGAAGAAAATAAGTTGTGTTGCACCATCATCTAGTGGTCATCTTCAGTACTTCACTTTATTTAAAAACAAAAATGATTGTTATGAGGTGAGTTTATACTCTGGTGCTTTTGTTTTAATATCCTGTCAATGGAAAAGTAAATAATTTATAAGGACTGTAAGATCTACCAAAAACACAAGTCGAAAACCTTAGACTTGGAATTTTCCATGTTTATTTCTTGAATTTCTTTTTAGCTTAATCTAAAAAAAAAATTAAGTTCTTTCTACCAAATTTTTGACTTCTCAAAATCAGAAACTTTTTTGGTTTCTATCTAGAAGGTTTTTGATTTATGGCAAAAATGTACTCCTTGTGTTCTATCAACAATGCAACTAATATGTCGTATCAGTGTAGTAACTTGAAAATAAACTTATACACAAAACATGAAGAATTATGTTTTATTTACTTCACTTTTTTGTTACTTAAGCTCTTTAATTTGGTTGTTTTATCTACTGCAGGTGCTAAATTTGTCCCCAGGAAGTTTTATGAATAAAAAATGTTGCTTGATCAAATAAAATCAGATACATTCTCCATTTTGCTGTATGTCTTACCATTGTCTCCATATTCGTAGCGTACAGCCAGACCCAGCAGCCAGTCCAGGGCCTCCTTCTTCTCCTGAACTCCAAAGGGACAGTTCAGATCCAGCAGGTACTGCAGAAACACAAGCAGAAAGCTGAAACACAGGTCATGGTGTCCAGATTGTCCAGAGATCCAGACAGGCTCACCTTCTCATAAGCTTTGGGCCAGTCTGAACTGGGAATGTTCCTGAGGTTGCCTCTGTCCTCGATCTTATAGTGTCGGATCTTCTGGTCCTCCAGCCACACGATGCAGTTCCTGAACTGGGTTTCATCTGAATGTGACCATTAGTACAGAAATGAGTTGGTGCCTTTATTAAACTCAAACCAGAATCTTCATTAAGAGCCTTTAACACGTTTTTAATAAGAATATTAACGTTTACTAACATTAGTAAATAGATTTGCTTAAATAGGAAGCATGAAACTGCACTGATGTTAATTTAAAACGCAGAATGCCTCCATTTATTCCTATTTTTAGTCTGGCAATTCACTGCCTCCTTATAGCGACACGGTTCAGAATACGTACGCACGTCGGTTAACCCTGAAAACCTGAACGAAACCAGCGAATCGGTCACTTTTCTCCCTCACCTGAGCACTCAAATCCGTTCGGGTCATGGTAATCTAGCGCAGTCAGTTTCCTGCGAAACATTTCAGAACAAATTCTCCGCTTTTCTTATTTAGAGACTGTGGACTTGTGCGGCTACTGCTCTGCAAACGTTTTGTGTATGGCAGTGCGCATGCGCCCACGTCGGACCCTAGTTCTTAACTGACCTTTCAAAATAAAATCCTGAACACCGAGGAAGGAAATTTAAATATCGTTAATTTTCTAAAATAATAGCCTTATCTTTTGATAACTTTTTATCTAAACACTATTTGGTAAAGATGTGTTTTTTTCCATAAAAAGACAAAACATTATTTTGTTAAAAAATAAACCCAAAAACCCTTAAACTGCTATATTTTACATCAAATACAAGCATCACAGAGAGCATTACAACTCTCATTATATTTTTATGAACTTTTATTGAAAAATTTTGACTTTTTTAAAGACATTTGTCTTGAGAAATTATTCTTAAAAATATGACTTCCTTCCTTATTGATAATTCCCATTTTCCTTTATTCTTTGACTTTTTTTAATTTCTACCAGCACTACTGTGACTGGTAGAAATACAAGTCGAAAACCTTAGACTTGGAATTTTCTGTGTTTATTTCGTTAATTTCTTTTTAACTTAACCTAAAAAATTTGAAGTTCTTTCTACCAAATTAGAAATAACCAAATTTAAAATTTTCGTTCTTGAAAAGTGATTTTGATTTTACTTTTTCTTTCTTCTTATCTCGAAAGAAGAACCAACATTATTTACTTTATTTTCTTTCCTGAGTCTCTAATACTTAGTAGAGTCAATATTTGATTTATGAGAAATTACTTACGTCATTCATTATTATTCATCATTATTACAATTACTTCTAATTACCATAGTTTTATAGAGAGTAAAAATGAGACTTAGTCTTTGAAAAAAAAACATGTTTATTAAACATTAAGTTTTATAAAATGAATGAAACAGTTTTAGATGAGAAAACACAAAATAAAGATCCATCTCTCAGAGTGTGAGCGGGCGTTCAGAAAGGCCTCATGCGCGTGTTGAGGGGCGGCGCTCTGTTGGGCGGCGTGATGGCGATATCCAGGTAGTCTCCGATCTGGAAACGCTGAGACTGCAGCGTCATGGCGTCATCCAGGCCCTTCCTCCCAGACACAGTGCTGCCAATCTCCTTCAACCTGCAAGTGATCAGTTAAGATCAATAACCTGCTATTCCTCTGATCAATCTGTCTTGTCAGCACAGATTTGTAGAGTTAGACTTACTTGTACATCTTTACTCTCGGATCAGGGAAGACGATGGCGAAACTGAAGTGAGTCCCCTTTTTCCTGGCTTCTGGATAGACTTCCTTCACTAAACTAGTTAGCTCCTTCAATGTAGCATCCATCCTGCAACACATATAGTCAACAGTTCAGCTGCATTTCCATTTCTGTGACAAGTACATACAGAAAAGCCAACAAAATGTTACCATGTGTATATCTGGAGCTCACTGGAGGGCACATTGCCCCGAGCAAATTCATCTGATCTGTGGTGTCGCCCACTGTTGGTGGTAAATACTCGCAGGAGAAGGGGGCAAGTCTGCAGCAAACAGGAAAATCAAGCATAACTTTTGACATAAGCAGTGCAGAAACAGTCCAAAGGTATTCTACACAATCAAATGAGTTTATAAATACATGTTAGTGTGACAAATTTACCTTAATTAACACCGTTTCTTATTAAATAATGTTTTTGACAGGGATCAACACAACATCTACAAAATCGATCCATCAGACTGCCATCTAGTTTCAAAACCAAGTTACTACAACGCAATCTTTTCTTAGTGAGGGACATAGATTATAGAAGTATTTTAGAGTTTGAAGCAGAAATCAGAATCAGATCTACTAAAACAGGCGGAATAGCCCTTTACTAAAAAGCCCCTGACAGAAAATATATTTGACAACCTGCTTGATTCTAATTTTAATTTAAAAATAGTGCAAATATAGACTTTCCAGAAGAAAGTTATGACACTACATTACATCAAAGCTTTTTATTTTTTAAGATAAAATTAAACATCTTTTAATGCTAACGCTGAATAGCCATTAGCAAGTAAAGCATTAGCTAGCACGACACCTTGACGTTTCGTTATTTTCCCGTTTTTTTTTCTCCCTTGACTATTGAGTAGCTCAACATTACCACAGCAATTTTTCACACAATTTAAATACTGTTTAATATATTTGATCTAATGTTACAAACACCGCTCAATAGTGCTAGTTAGCATCAGATGCTAACTAAGTTAGCTCGGGTACAAAGTAAAACAAGCAGCAGAGGATTCCGGAGTAAAATGCTGTTAGTTACTTTTTCCCGATCGATGGGTTTCTCTGGCTCCTTCTTTATTTCCTCCTGTGTAATCCGCGATTCAAGCGCCATTGTTATTTAGTAGTAACACAGTCATACAGCGAGGTCTTCCTCCGTGCTCTTTCTGTAGCTACAGCAACGAACAAGGTGGTGAGCGACTTCTTCTTCTTGACTCTATTGGTGGTTGGCAAACAACGCTCTGTTGCTCGCTACCGCCACCACATGGTGAGGTTTGCGGGTCAGAATGGAAATGTAATTCAAATTTGCTTCAAAATATATATTCTTCTCATTAATTCTGACGCTAGCAATAAATATTGATAACAAAAACTGTAAGCCATGTTCGATTTTCTTCTATTTTGCAACTATGCAGTCAATTAAATAAAATTTGTGACACAAGGTGGGAAAGTTAAAGTGGAGATGCACCAAACACATATCTCTATCTGTACCAAAATTGAAAATTTGTATATGTATTGGGTATCAGTGACAATATGCCAAACCCATAAGGGCATATCTATTCTGTCTAGTTCCATGCTTTGGGCTCTGAGAAACGTCATGCATTATTATTTATTACATTTAGAAATCCTAATCACACTTTCTGAACAATTTGAAAGAAAAAATGTTGTTTCTGCAATGACAGTACATTCAGGAAACATCTCAGTGATTTAGGTGTTCTTTCTCATTATCCAGAATGTTTATAAATCACCTAAAACTCTTGTGCTTTTAGGTTTTCAGTTTTTGTACAAACTGCATCTTAGTGTCAAACAGCCAAGCCCTCCCACAGAAAGCTGCCATTCAGTCACATGCTTCACTCCTGCTCACTCATTAAGCTGTCTGTGGGTGAGTGTGTGTAATTCCTGTCAACATATATGTGAGTGTATGTTTGTACAGTATGTGATGGTACAGTGTGTGGTTGTTTGTGTTCTTCCTGACAGTGCCGCTCTCTGTTCTGGCTGATCAGAGCCAGAAACGTCTCTACTCTTTCACCCTGAGTCCCACATTTCCACTCACACACCGGACTGAAACGATCCTCCAAGCTTTTCTCAGCCGTTTCTGCTCTGGACTTGATAGAAAGATCAGACAGTGGCTCTTTGAGTCTCTGACACTGATACCCATTCAACGAAGCAGGGCCCTGTATTAACACAAATTGTATAACAAAAGGTTTTATTGAGATTTTAGGTGATAAACCAACTTAATGTGACACTTTTTGCCCAATATACAAACAAAATCTTATATGCCATCATCAAAGAATACTTTAGTCTACAAAAGTAGGGATGGACAGTATGGATTTAAAATCACAATATATTGTGTGACAATAAAAAACATTCATTTATTCATTCTTTATAGCTTCTTTAGGACACCATTTATATGAAAAAGTCTGATTTAAATCACTAAACTGCACACAATAGCTGCATTTAATCATATTTTACATGTATTTACATTTATTGACACTCATTTATCAAATAGTAGCAAAATTAGTAAAACTGAGACAATGATGAATCAAAATCAAAAATTCATTATGATAAATGATAAACGATACAATAAATTCCCAACCATGAATCAGAACCTTCCTAATTTCACCATTCTCAGATCTTTAGTTCCTAGATTGCATCTCTGTCTTAAATTTAGCATCTTCCGATGTCTTTATTTGACTTCCGAGAGAATCCGCAGGTCGAACTGAGGAAGTCGCTTTTTGCTCCCACACTTCAACAAACTGTGGGAAAAGCTCATCGGTCCCAGTCATCAGCTGCACACAGAGCCGCTCTGTCCGGACCGCCGGCCGCTGCCAAGACGTAACTCTGATCTGAGAAGCTCTTCTTCTGACTCGCTCTCTGGGTCCAGTTACAGTCACAACAATCACACACAGATACGCTTCCCCACACACACCTACACACCACAATGCCACTTTGTTCTCTCAGCCCTCGGGCTCCAAACTGCAGGTTCAGTAAAATTTTAAATTTGAATACAACAGACTAAAACATAAAAAATGGCAATACTTCAATATGACAATTTCTTCTCTTCATTTACATTTTATATCAGTAAATGCTGTTAGCATAAGAAAAAGACGCCTTAATGCTTTTGACAGAAGCATTAGACAAAATGCTTGGACAAAATATGATACAACTTAGTTTTACAGAACAAACTTGAAGACGAATGCAATGGAGTGGAAATAAATGTGGAGATATTTTGTCATAATGTAAAAACAAAATCAGCATTAACACTTTGTAGCACAGAGGCTATTATGGCGACTAAGAAAAATAAAAAAAAAACATACTTAAATGACACTTTTAAAGTTTGCAACAAAAAATGTGGAAGAAAATGCTTTAATTTGGTGAAAGCACAATTAAATTTATCAGCAAACTGTGTCACTACTTAAAACTCGTTTGATCAGATTTAGCTAAAACTATTTTATAAAATTTCTCTAAATTATTATTTAGAGGAAACAGACTAATAGACCTGCAGCTGTAACTACACTGCGATTTCCATTTGTGTAGTATTTTTTAAAAAGTTTGTGTCACCAAACACAGAAACAAGTTCCAGGGGTTAGCATCCTTTATAGCACGGGTGTCTTTTGTGTCAATTTGTTTCAAAACACTTTAATAAATTTAAGTCAGTTTAACTTTCTATTATAAGATTAAAAATAAAAAGTTTCCACCTGCATCAACTTCCTGTGCTGAATGAGCCAAATTTGTATCATTCTTTTAATTGGAGGTTGTGGCTGCACAAAATCAGTCCGATGGCCACAAATGGCCCCAGGACCACACTTTGGACACCCCTACTTTACAGCATGCCTGTCTTCCTTTCACTCTTGCAACTTTGGGTCAGAAAAAGCATCCAGACTGATTCCTGCATTTGGAAAGATTTTAACATCCCAGACAAAGTCCTGATGAGTTTTATTTTGAAAATCCTTGGAGGAAGTGACCCTGTTGCTGTCTTTCTTGACTTCTCAGTGAAGAAAGCATCTTTCTGCAGAAGACTTCAGAGCTGCAGGTTTGTGTCTTGTTGCTCTCAAAGAACAAATTCAGATTTATTTCAGTCAGTTTTGTGATTTCAATTAGATGCATTTTATTTTATTTTTTTTTTATTTTCTTCGTGCAGGAGAAGAAAATGAGGAAACTTTCACAGCCAATGACCTGAATCACTGTAAGCAAGGTGAGAAATGTGCTTTCTTTGTACAGTGGAGTGTGTTTTACAGTGTCAGTGGGCAGCGAGGTTCATCAGATGTTCACATGAATGTTGGCGGCGCCTTCGACTTTCCTCCTCTCACTTTCATTCCTTTTCATCGCCTTCCTCTGTCAGAGTCGGCTTTTGTTTCTGCTTTCATCTTCTGCCACTCTTCTCTCCTCCTCAGAAACAGAGTCACGTCGTCATGGAGTCGTTTCTATCAATCGATTAAACATTTACCGTTACAATCAGCAGTTTTCTGGTGTGAAAAGTAACTTTTCTGATTTTCTTGCCTGTCTGCTCTCACAGGATGTCCTGGCCGGCTCTGTACGCTCAGCTGGTCGGCACCAACCGGTACTCCACCTCCCTGGGGAAAGTGTGGCTCTCTGTGCTGTTTATTTTCAGAGTCATGGTTCTGGTTGTGGCCGCTGAGAGCGTCTGGGGCGACGAGCAGTCCGATTTCACCTGCAACACCCTACAGGTATCACATGGACGTAGACAAGTCAAATTATCTAGATGTCTTTTGACAAGTTGGACAGAAACATGAGATTATTTAAAGATATCAACAGGATGAGTTTATTTAAACTGATGATTTTATATAAATAAAACTTTCAGCGTTGAAGGTTTTATTAATATAAATAGCAAATGGTCCAAACCTCTATCTCTGCTACATCACTAGCATAACCACAGGAAGTGTCTATATTCATAAAATATAAACATTATTTTCTCAGGTAAAGCACTTTGAACTGCTTTGTTGATCAAATTTAATTAAATTTCCACTGTTGCCTAGTGCTTGCTCAGGATGACTTGATGAATCCTGTTGTTTTTTATTTTTATTTTAGACACAACAATTGTTTGATTTGCTTTTGTTTGGACTCTTTGTTGTGATTGAATCCGATTTGTAGAGAAGGAAATTACATTGAATTTGAATTAATTTTTTTGTAAAGTAAGATGATTTGTTTTTATTCTTATTATTATTAATTTGAACAATAAAAATAATTAAATTTTCCTGCTCTTATTTGACCGCAGCTCCTTTTCCAACCCAAATGCTTAGTACATTTAACTTTAACTTGTTTACGGGAGCATAAGATGTCCCCAAATCAGGGCACAAAAAGACCAAAACTGTAAAGAAATGACAGGAAATGTGTAAAGGAACCACCACAAGCCAATACTGACACCTGCTGGCTGTATGATACCATTTAGTTTAATAAATCAAAACTAATTTAATTGTATGGTGATGCTGATTTCCATTTCTGTTACTTTTTTTCTCCCAGCCTGGCTGTGAGAACGTCTGTTATGATCAGTTCTTCCCAGTGTCCCACATCCGGCTCTGGAGTCTCCAGCTGGTCTTTGTGTCCACACCAACCCTCTTGGTCTCCATGTATGTGTCCTACCGCAACCACTGCGACAAGAGACGACTCCTTCAGGTGGATGTCCCTCTTTTATTCTGCTTATTCACTGTGAGAAGACGCCTCTGTGAGCTGATGCCTTGTAAAAGTATTCATACATTTTGTGTTTTTGTTTGTGATGCTGGTTTATGGCAGGAATCGTGTCAGGGCATTTTAAGTAAAATATAGAGCAAGTCATAACCAGATTTGGTTATGCAGTACCTGACTAACCCAAAGAAATAACTGGAAGTTTTTGTGCTGTAGTTAAATGGGAAACACTTTCAAAAGTATCAATGCTGCAGTGAACTTCGGTGAAGTTTTATGTGGTTTTATGCTGCTGCATTTTTCACACTCATCTCTTCACGTCTGTGTTAATCTCAGAAGGTATTGTGTGTTTATTTTCCCATGGGCGGCCATTACTGTGCGTCAGAGTTCTGGACGGGCAAGCATACTCCACAATAAGGGCCAAGAAGAAGAGCTGGAGACTCTGAAGAAGAGGAGACTCCCAATAGCTGGCGCCCTCTGGTGGACATACTTCTGCAGCCTGGTGTTTAAAATGATGTTTGAAGGTGGATTCATGTAAGATGTGGGATTTGACTTTTCCCTCTGTCCATAATCAGACTGGTTTGGTGTGAGAACACACACTGTACGTCCTCGTATTGCCAGGTACGCCCTGTATGTTGTGTACGACGGTTTCCAGATGCCACGCCTGGTGCAGTGTGATCAGTGGCCGTGCCCCAACCTGGTGGACTGCTTCGTCTCACGGCCCACGGAGAAAACCGTCTTCATCGTTTTCATGGCTACTGCCTCTTCGGTCTGCATGCTTCTTAATTTGGCTGAACTTGCATATCTGGTTGCCAAGGCTCTCAACAGGTAGAATGAGACGACCAGGTGATTCATCAGATTTAAGAGGTTTGCAGTTTTACATTACCTTTTTGTGTCTTTGATTTTCAGCTAACAACTGACAACATCTTCCTTTCAATGAAACTTTGAGGGCACAGGGTGACAAAATCAGCAATTCAAGAGACAAATTTGAGTTTGAACAAACCATCTGCTGCAGAATGAAGGTGCATCACATAGCAAAGACTTTTAAGAACAGTTTAAATCGCAGATAAACACACTTCTAAGACCCCAGGAATGGTGATGCATGTCAACAATGAATTTATATGCACACCCTGAATGCCAATTGTTTTTATACCATTGTGGAACCATAGGGCCATCTACTGGGCAACAATAAAACTGCACTGGGGGAAACCGTCAGATTGTCAGAATCCTGACAACTAAATCTTTTTGCAAAACCAGTTGGGTTTTCTGTAAGTTTAGTGTTTATCAGCTGATGTTGTTTTAAGATAGTTAAATAGTATGGCACACTTTCATAACTCTGTTTTATTTTCTTGTTTACTTCTTTTGTAAGTTAAAATCAGTGGCATTGTGTCATCATGTAAGGTAATTACAAATGTAGGTATTTTACACAACCAGAGTAGGAATGATGATGCATCTGGTGCAGACCGGGGCGACCTGACCTAAGAGTAGCATTACGTCAACATATTTTCACTTGTGCAACAGTAAAAAACAGCCCTCCAAGAAATTACTTCAATAAGAGTAAAAAAGGATTTTGTAAACATCTACTAATTAATGAATAACTGATCAAATGATCAATAATCTAATATTTAGAAATTACATAATCAGAAGGACCAAAATATAGTTGAGTGGAAGATTTGGTATTTTAAAGACCAAAATGACAATAACTCATATAAGCGGCAAAAAAAAAAAAAAAAATCAGGCAAAAGAAAATTTTTCAAAATCAGTTTCTTTAAATAAAAAGCTTATGAAACTTTAACTAAAACTATAGGTGTGTCTGTCTGGTGAATTTTTACTTAAAACACATTTGTTCTCCAATGCATACATTTTATTCCAGTTAGAGTAGAAATACTTCATTAAAAAAATTACTCATGCAAAATTAAAATGTACAGCATAGTAAAAATACTATGCTGAGAAAAAAGAATCAGAAACGTTAAGTAAGTATAACTGAGTAAATGTAACTAATTACAACCCATCTCTGGGTGTTGACATGTTGGTATGGGGGCCCCCAAATGAAAATTTGCCCACGGCCCCAAAAAGGCTTTGGTCGGCCCTGCTCAGTGCTCATTTTACTTGTTTTTTTTCCCGCGCTTGTTGGTTTTGGGGGAACGTGACGTCTGAGCGGCCTCTCACACTTTAATGCGCGCGCGCAAGCACCGACTTCCCACCGTCCCCCTCGTGCGCCCCATGCGCGGGGACACCAGCGCGTGCGACAGTGGCGCAGGGCCTTGGCCACGCGGGACGCAGCCGCTGCGCTTCGCCTTCGTGGGACGGCTTCCACACGCACCAGCTTTTTTTATTTTTTTATTTTTGAAACACCAAAAGAAAAGAAAAACGTTCTCCATCTCCATCTTTCTCTCTCCCTCTCCTCGTGTTTCGAGCCCACTCGTGCCCGTGGGACTAAAATAAGGAGGAAGAGGAAGAAGGGACGGGAAGAGAGCAGCCCGCCGCCGGGACGGAGCGGTAAGCCGGTGGATGCTGCAGTGATGGGAGTCTGAAGTGGGAGGGAAGAGGAGGGATTATCATCCTTCCTCCTGCTGGATTATCTCATCCTCTCATGTTGCGTTCATTTCCTTTTGGAAACAGGAAGTTTCTCATACTGAGTTACTAATTTGGTTTCAATTAATTAATAGGAAAGAATCTAGTAAAATGTTTTGTTTTGCCTTGAAGTCATTCTTTTTGTTAAACTTTTAACAGACTAAAAGTTTAATTGAAAACTTTTTAATTAAGTTCCTTCAGTCACAAGAACAAATTTACTGGACAATAAATTGTCCCAGAAGTTATTGCGATAAATTATTATTGTTTCCTGGTTGGTAAAACTGGCAGCATCATGCCATGAAAATGCCAACATATGTACTTTTTAAATTTCTTTATATCTTGTCTTTCCTAGAATCTAATTATGCATGTTTGTGTTTGCAAAATGCACGTTTCTGACCAAAAGTGTGAGATCTATGCATTGTTTTTGTTTACTGTAATCTTTTGAGTCTGTATATAGATTTAATCCCTTTATTTCATCAAACTGCAGTGTGTGAATACATACAGTAAGAAGCCAATTGTCTGATATTTGTGATAAGTGGCAGCTGCAGCTTTCATGTGAGTATTTTGGGCTTCAAATGGTGATCTAAGAGTTAACCGTTTGAGGACAAAGAGCCCTGATCCATCAAAAGCATGCACCAGCCTGGACAATATCCATCTGGCAGCTTCCCTATTGTCCGTCCTGACCAGTGGTATTTCATCACGTCAACACATAATGTACATCTACACACGCCGCTGTCAGACTCGTGGCCCAGCAAGTGTGTTTGGTCTACTTTCTAGAGCAAATATTTTAGAACACGTGAAATTAGACAAAACCAACTTACAAGAAACTTTTCAGAAAGTTAACAATTCCTCATTAATATTGACTAAAAGTACTGGTTCCGCTGGCAGATAGAAGACATTTTTTTCCATGTGAAACTAGAACTGGATTGCTAGGTAATGGTGCAGTGCCAGTGTAACTAGTACTTTTTATATCAATAATAAGGAGTTATTGACTTCATAGAAGCTCCTATTTCTTGAAAAGATGCTTCTAAGTTAGTTTTGTCTTGTTTCAAGTGCAATAAGATATTTATTTAACAAATGAGACCAAAAATACTTGTTAATATTGAATGTTTTTACAGTGTATGTTCCTGGTTAGCTTCAGTTGCTTTGGTCTGACAGAAAACTGATGTTTGCGTCACACTTTTAGGTATTTTTTCCATTCTGCTTTCCTTCATAACTAAGGATCAGCGTCTTCTGTACTTTGACTGGGCCACTCTAACATATAAATATAGTACTGTATCTCATCCCGTATCTCAATCAGGTGTACATTTCTTGTAAATTTGTTTTCATTCACATCAGTGAATCCCAGAAAAACATTTGCTCCCCTCAGCATTCCTGGGATGTGATGAGTCCAGCATTCAACTGGGACAACCTGTTATCCAGTCATTCCCACAGATGGTGAACCATTATCCTCTCACCAGCCAGTCCACACAGTCCTGGTGGGGCATTTCAAGCAAAAATACTGTTTCAACATGCTGATAATCATGATTATTATTCAGAGTTTCCCAAAGAAAACTAGCTAAGACAGTTTTTGAGTTGAATTTTTTAAAAAGTTGACAGAAAATTTTAAAATATCACTTGGTAATTAGGTTACTGGAAGAAATTATTAACAAAAAAAAAAAACTTAAAGACTCAAATTACTGGTATATAAAGAAATCTGTAAAAAATAAACAATGCTAAGCCTGGTGGCCTGCCAGGCTTATAAAACACTGAACGCTGATTATTTAATAATCCATCTATAGTTGAACACTGATTATCCACGTGTGAAAAAGACAGTGTTGGCCAGTCACACTTTAACCAGTTCTTGTTTTTCACTTATTATTTTTCACATTTTACTTCTACAATGCTAATGCCAATAAAAGTAGCTAATTTGGTTCAGCAGTTTCTACTTATCCAGAAATACGTTTATATTAAAGAAACAGCAATACTGATTAAAATCGGAATAATTATCACATAAGTTTGGCAAAAACAGAAGAATAGATGCAGAAAAGACAGCTGGGTATCCTCTGCCTAAAAGACGTGGACAGTTGTAGTTGGCTATTTTGGCCAAAAGCTGCTCTACAGCCTTCTTGTAGTTTATTGTCAATACTTGTAGTGATGATCATCAGTTTTTTGTGATTTCCAGGCTAGAAAATCAAGGAAAGAATGGGTGACTGGAGCTTTCTAGGGCGACTGTTGGAGAATGCTCAAGAACACTCCACTGTGATTGGAAAGGTAACTATACATTAACATCCCTAATTCACATCTTTTATTTTTCTTCGCCATTTTCTAACGTGGCCATGATAAGTAGGTCTCTAACTCCAAAAAAGGAGACACTCTTTTTATGAATGACAAGATGTCATTCCCAAGATAGAAGTGCCTCAGAAATCTTTGGCTAACCGGTGTTTTGTAACTGTTTCATTTTTCCTTTTCAGGTTTGGCTTACTGTCCTATTCATTTTCCGTATCTTGGTTCTTGGCGCAGCCGCTGAAGAAGTTTGGGGTGACGAACAATCCGACTTCACCTGTAACACCCAGCAGCCCGGTTGCGAGAATGTCTGCTATGATGAGGCCTTCCCCATCTCCCATATCCGTTTTTGGGTGCTGCAGATCATCTTTGTCTCTACACCCACTCTTATCTACCTTGGCCATGTGCTGCACATCGTGCGCATGGAAGAGAAGAGAAGAGAGAGGGAGGAAGACCTCAGAAAATCTGGACAACATCAGGAGGACCACGACCCGTTCTATCACAATGGAGTCGGTGACGGAGGTGGAGGAGGTGGTAGAAAGGACAAACCGCCAATCCGAGATGAGCATGGGAAGATTCGTATCCGTGGAGCTTTATTGAGGACCTATATCTTCAACATCATCTTCAAGACTCTGTTTGAGGTGGGCTTCATCTTGGGGCAGTACTTTCTCTACGGCTTCCACCTGAGGCCGCTTTATAAATGTGGCCGCTGGCCCTGCCCCAACACTGTGGACTGCTTCATCTCCAGGTGAGAAAGTTTTACATTCTTTCATTTGAAGACACATAGCTTTTTTTTCATTGTCTTACAATCAATCTGATTCAGGTTTTCCTATTTTAGACCAATTAAGATGACCAAGTACATATATATTCGCTAAATATAACAACTGCAGTGAATGGAAGACTTTGAGGATCTTCTTAATCCAGTCACCATGTCCTCTGTCCAGATGTCTAAGTACTCAGGGTCAGGGTCATGGCTATCAGGTTTCTGTCATGGTTGAAACAACTTGTCAATGCCACAAGGAGGACGTGGTAACAGGATGGCTGTCCAACACCAGGGAGACCACTCTTCCTAGTTTTCTTAAGAAAGCTTCCTTCAGGTTGTTGAAAAGGACACTTGACTGATTGTCGAACCTTGAATTTGATAGGGGTATTGCTTTGGAATAATGGGCCAGATTTTTACCCTCGGATCTCCTCAGTAGATCATGGGAGTTAGGTTGTGCAGTGTTTGTAAATAAGTGAAGTATTGGGTCAGAGATGATTTTAAGGGTATCTCAATCATTGGATAATGAAATGAGGAGTTGTGTGTACATTCAGAATACAAAGTCTGGCTTGTTTCCATTGTGGGTTAAGTTTTACCAGTGGTCTTCTCATGTTGCATTTCCTTTTTGAGATGTACCTGGATAGGATCTCAATATGTAGTCTTGGAAAGGAGGGCGTTCAAGAAGCTAGGAGTCTCATCATTAGTTTTTGCAGATGATGTTGTTTTGTGAGCACTCAGTTCATAATCCCCAGGATGTAATGAGGCAGTTCAAAGTCAAGTGTGAACCGGTTCCACTAAATCTGAGGCCATGGTTCCAGGCTTGGTGTTAAGTCTCTGCCTCATCCGGAGGATGTTAGATATCCTGGTGTCTGGTGCACAAGTGATGGTAGGCTGGAGAGACAAATTGGACCCTTGACTGGTGTAATGTGGGCGGTGCTCTGGTCTCTGGAATGAGCTTTGTCTTAATTTATCAGTTTTTCTGTATTCTGAATCCCACCTGTAAGGAGGACATGTCAGTCATGACTAAAAACATGAGGTGACTGAAATGAGCTTCCTCCTTAAGGTGGAAAGTTCTTAGAGATAGGGTGAGAAAGAGTGACTGCTCCATATCTCAGGAGGTCAGTTGAAGTGATTAGGGCATCTCTCTCCTGAATTCCTGCCATTGATTTACTGAGAACTTCACACTGGGAGAAAACCCAAACTTGCTGAAGGGTCAATACATCTATTCTGGTTTGGTTACACCTTTGGATCTCCTAGAATAAGCACGAGTGTTACTGGGGGGAATGGGTGGCTGGGTTTCCCTTCTAAATCTGATGTTCTCAGAACCTGGTTGAGAATAAGCAAAAGGTGGACGGATGGTGTCGATATTTTTGGATTCCCTGGAGAATGGTTTTGCCTTATCAATGGATAATCCTACTGTGGACTAAAGGCAAGCTAGTCTTTAGTTAAGCCACTTTTTAATTAAGCCATCTTTTAATAATGAAATTAAGAGACCAATTAAAAACTTTGATGTAGCAAAAGCACTGAGTGAGGCAAGAAAAACATTCTTGAGGTACTTTCCCACCAGTCCTGTTTAGCCTGCTTTAACCCAACTCTCGTTCGTTTACCTAAAACACCTAGTTAGTTTGGGGAAGTGTGAATGTGAGCTTTGATGCTGACCAATGAAGTGAACTCTAGTCCACCTACAAACCTCGGGCTCAGCTCGGTTGAAGTGAACTCTGGCGCGGTTCTAAAGTCAATATGAACGCCAAGTGGACTGGAGATCGCTCCAAAAGCAGGAAGCAAGCTACAGTACAGTACAGTACAGGGCATTTATTCTTCCATCCATTCCATTTTGTTTACATTTTGAGAAAAAGGAAGTTTTGACCATATCTTCTTCATAGGTTTTTGTGTTGTTTTCTTTAGTGGTTCTTGATGGTGTGGAGGGGAACAGGTTTCTATAAGGGTTTGGTTTGTAAAGACAACTGCGGCATCTGAAAATGTTGCTCTTCAATTGAACAAAGTCTACTTTTTCTTTTTTTTCTTTTCCTATGTTTTTGTTTGTTGTATTAGGCCTACTGAAAAGACCATCTTCATCATTTTTATGCTAGTGGTAGCATGTGTCTCCTTGGTCCTCAACCTACTTGAGATCTACCACCTGGGCTGGAAGAAGGTTAAGCATGGGGTCACAAAGGAGTTTGTTCCTGATAGTTTGTCACTGATAGGCGTCAATGAGCCTGGAGACCCAGGGACTCCTGAACAGACCTCTCCAACAGGGCTCCAGTGTTTGCCAGTGTCTTCTAATGTATGTGTGGTGAGAAGTGAAGCAATGAGAGGAGGAACTTACAGTCCAACAGGAACCTCCCACACAGTGATGTCCTTAAACACTAACATGGCTACAATACCAGTGTCTGAAGGACTTAATGTGGGCGGTGCTGCTTGCCACCAAGAGGACTTCCTAATGGAGTCGCTGCCTGCTTCTATCTATGGTGAGAGTGAAGACAGTCGTGGACACCTTGCAGAAATGCAGCAGAATTGGAGAAACATGGCTTTGGAGCTTCATAATCGCAATGAGGAAAATTCCCCCACATATCCTCTTCCATCTCCATTCCCCTCTTCCTCCTCCTCTCAGGAGGAGACGACATGTCTGGAAGAGAAGCAACGCTCCACATTTCCAACTCTTCCTCGAAATACACCTCTCTCTCTGCTCACGCCGGAGGAGACAGCAGTGGATTCAGAAAACACTGTCGCCACATCACCGAGCATAGAACCACATGATGATTTCACAGTGATAACCAGGGCGGAGATGCATCAGCCTCCCTTTGGTGTCGGGACAGATTTAAGGAGGCCCAGTATGGTGAACAAGACCTGTGGTGCTCGAGCTCGCCCTGATGATCTTTCTGTGTAGCTAAAATGTAGACGCTCAAATTTATAAAACAGTGGACACGTTCACAAACAACCAAACCACCGTACTTTCACAATTTAAGACTTGTTAATATCAAGAAGCATAATGTATGAGAGTAAGATTGGAGCTTTAATACCATTCTGGTGTATATGTGATACGATGTGGTGCTAACCAGCATAGCACATACATGAATAATAGTTGTTAAATTTTCACTGGATGGTTTCACAGTCAGGTTGAGAATCTCTACTTTACTGCCAGTAGATATCTCAATACTCTGCCATGACATAAAAGAACTATGAGCAGCAAACTCCAGTTTTATATAATTCAACTTTATCATCATTCTTAGCATTTATGCTAAGATAAGTTGGCCATGTGTCTATTTTTGTAGATGATGTAAAATGGGTTGACATTTCTCTAAATAGTCTAGCTTCTATTTAGAGATTAACTGAACTACTTTACATCCGGTTGCACCTGATGACTAGTGAACAACTTTATTTACCTACATTTAGCATTAATGTTAGGCTAAGTGAGCCATGAATCTAGTTTTGTACTTAATCACAAAACATGTTAAATGTGTTGATCTTTAAATCTAACTCTAATGTTAGATATCAGCTCAGTTCATGTTCTTCTGTTATTATACATTGATTTAAAAGTTAGCTATATCCGAGCTAGCTTATTTACAGCTATCAGCATTTAAAACAAGCTAGCCAAGAGTTAGTTTTAGTTGTCAATTGCCAAACACCGATTTTATTTGTCAAATATAATTTGATGCTGCTGAAATTACATTATATGCCTCTAAATATTGCTAGCAAATATCCTGAGAAAACACAGGACTAGCACAAACTCAAGTACATTATGTTCCTAATGCTGAGAATAAACTGAGCTAACTAGCAAGCTTTGGATCTTGGGAGCAGCAGTACTTTTTAAATGATATAAAAGCACTTTTATTTCCATTTTCTTTTCATGATGACAGAAATTATTAGTTTTTTGGTCATTTTTGTATTTATGTTTTGCTATTATGCAGCCAGTAGATTCAATGAAGAGAGGGATTATAATCCCACCCTGAGACAAAATCATTCAGGCTGTTCCTGTATATGTCTGTGGCTGTTCAGGTGCTTTAATTTTGTTTTTAATGTCTATAAAATAAAATCTATGCAGTTACATCAGGGTTAAACTATATAAAGTTTATAAATATGTACATATTAAATGAAAAATTGTGCTTTGATGTATGGCAACTATATTTTGGAAAAGCTTATCTCTGGTGCAATTCTGACTTTCACCAAATAATGAAAATATTTTAGTTATTTTCTAAAAAGAAAAAAGCAACAGCAAGAAAACAAGTGTTAAAGGAGTTGTAATTATTATGTGTGCAATGTTTATTTTGCTTATTTCTTTTGGTGAAATGTTCTGTTTTAACCTGTAATATGATGTAAATGAAGATTTAAACAGCTATAAAGTTCTGAAAATAGAATAGGTGGAGTTTTCTATGTTGAATTGTTTATTTCTGGTGATAGAAAAACAATCATTTCAGGAATGGACAATAAATGAAACCACAGTGCCTGATGTTTCCTCTAACCTTTAGCTCTTAAACCATAGATGTGCCTTTAATCATATTCAGTTAAAAAGATTTGGAAAATGCTTTGTCTCTGACTTGTAGGTTCTCTTGCTTGCACTTGTTTTCAAGAAATATCACTCATTAACAACCAGATTAAACATGCCTTGTCTTCGAAAGCAAAGGGCTTTTCGACTATACATTTTGTTAGCAATCACATTGATGTAAATGTTCATTTACCTCAAATACTGACAGAGCTCTTTCTGAATACATTTTTTCTACTGTAGCTATTTGTTGTTTGTTTTGCTGCTTTATTTTTAAATAGGATAAAATAACATCACTGACCACCACAATTTTCAAGCCGCCAAACTAATAACACTGAGGACAGATATATAGTGAGATTAAGTTTAGAATTTAGTTGAGCATTGATATTATGGAATAAGATAAAATTATTCAGACTGTTTGAAGGTTTTGCTAAACTAACTTAAGCTGACTTTCATCTTTGGACCAGCATTTAATTTTAACTTCCACCATCAACTAAACTGGGTGTATCCTTGATGAAGATGCCAACAAAAGTTGTTTCCTTCAGGTGAGACAATGACTACTCCTAACTTTTATCTTTTCTGCTGTATATAACCCTGAATGTTGGTCGTTTCCGCCGTTAACTTTATCCATAAAGACCGAAGAAGCTAAAGCTAAGCTAAAGCTACCAGCTCGCTGGAGTGAAACCGATGCTATTTTAACTTCTCCTAACTTTGATGTCAGTTTATATAACCTTTAATGTCAGTAGTTCCCGCCGTGGCTAGCTGGGAACTTTATTCATCAAGCCCGAAGAAACTAAATAAATAAATAAGGCCGAAGAAGCTAACCGCTAGCTGGATTATAACCGATGCTATTTTAACGTCTCTGTTGTTGAAAAAGTGTAGCACTCGATGCTTAATGTGTTTTAGAAACGTTTTATCCAATACATTAAAGGTTTGTGGTCACTAACAAATAAAATGAATGTGGTCTACAGCTCATAAGAAAGGCCCAGAATGTGTTACTTATAGTAGGTAAACAATTGATCAAATAAAAATCAATAGTATTTAAGTGCTAACATGTATTCTAATTAACACATTCAATAGGTTGACATATATATATATATATATATATATATATATATATATATATATATATAAGCTCAGTGACATATCAACTGCTAACTGGTTGTAATATTTCTGGGTTTATAATGATAATAGTTTGTAATTTGAGACATTTAGGACTGGTTTCCATGCATGTTATGCGAGTCCTCACTGTCTGGACCCTGAATCTGTGCTGAGGTCAGCGCTTCCTTTATGTCCCAGGGATTTTGACTGAACAAAGACCTCAACAGGGAGAGAAAAGGCCTTGAATGCCGATTATAGCTGCCCTGACCTCTGGACAGGCTGAAGTGTGTGGGTCCATATGCTCCAATACTCACAGGCAGTTTGTTAAACCCTGTAAGTCCAAGTAGTGAACCAGATTTTACCAATTTTTATTTGGTATTATCAAAAATAAGTGCAGATATTTCAGGTCTGTTCAGTGGTGGAAGAGCAACATTTATCCTTATTTCAACAAAAGCTTATCTACAATCTCCTTGTTAAGTTTTCTGAAGTGGTTTAGTTGAGCCTTAAAATAATGAGAATAAATATCTGTTGAGTCTAAACTCTACATTGAATATTTAAGCCAAACACTCGATGGATGTGTTCGATGTTTGAACAGTTTGGACGTTTTTTCCATGCATAAATGAATATATCATTGTATTATAGTCATTGTAGAATGATTTTTCTGGAGAACTGCAAATGTATTTAATACTCAGTGGTCTTTTTCCAAACATGGGAAATGTTGAAATGCTTTCCCAGCCTCTGTGATGTGGACAGTAGGTCCTCTAGTGGACAGACTGTGCATTGATAACAAAAACAACAGACTAAAGTGTTTTGTTTTTTTTTTTGCTTTTTATTCTCCAAACAAAAGCCAAACGTGACTGCATGACACAAGGCTTGTCCAAAGTTGTAGTAAACTGCCTGGCTACTCAATGTTTGAGTTAGAGATCATTTCTTTGCCGTTTCTCAGAGATTTCTCCTCCTTAATCCTGACATCCCATCAGGGCTGAGGTGATGTCCAAGGCCACTGGTGCGATCCTGCCCATCGCCAGGACCCTGGGGCTTTCGTAGTGGTAAAACTGCGAGCCTTTAAATAACCTTATTCCATCATCACCGCACAGACCGGCGTCTATATCAGACAATGGCAATGGGAAGGTTTGGCTGATAACCCTGGGTGTGGCGGTGAGGTCAACATCACGCATGCTGTTCCCTGTTGGAAGATGTTTGTTTAGATATTAATTCATCCCTGAGTATTTTCTCTCATTATAATTCAGAACATGTCATTAGAAATGAATATTTAGACATTTTACCTTGAATTATGTGAGCTGTGTTTTCAGTTGGGCATACAAACGCGGCATCCACGGTTCCCTCAATGCCCAGCTCCTCCTTGACAGTTTTAGGGTAACCTTCAATCAAGGTGAAGTGAGCGTCTGCTTTGTAGATGTAAACCTGATCGCCCTGCAAATGTTTGGAGAAATAAGCGCCATTTATTTCATATTTTACCCATTTCAAATTTATTCAAAAATCTTGAGGATGAAGCTACCTTAATCAAGTAGACTTTGCTGTCGTAAGAGAAGACGGCATCAACTCCATCGTTCACCTCCTTCCACGCTCTGGTTATTGGGAAGGCATGAAATCCGTCACGGTGTGTGTCAACACGCATGTAGATCGGACCTGAAGAGATTCAGCACATTTATTTCAGCAAAAACACTAAATTGTACCAAGTGGTTTTGCTTTAGTTTCTAGTGCAAATGTCTTAGTACCCTTGAAATAAGAGAAAACTAACTTACGGGTGACTTTTCAGCGAGATATACAGCTTATTTTAAGTCAATATTTCTTAATATTGATTAAAAGAGTACCAGTTCCACTGGCAGATTAATTCACTGAAAACAAGATATTGTTCACATATTATAATTGAAATAATCTCCCAATGGAACTAGCACTTTTTCACAAATATTAAAGAATTATATTAGCACAAGCTAATATTTCTTGCTGAAAAGTTACTTATAAGTTAATTTTCTACTAAGATATTTGCACTAGAAACCTGGACATAAATACTTGGTGACATTTTGTGTTCTTGCAGTTTGTCAAGGCCGTTCAATTAACTTAGGACTTTTTTGTTAGTGTAGAGTTTAAGACTAGAAGCAATCTTAAGTTGAAAATAACAGATGCTTTTGTGTGGCCAGTTTTGCTGGTTGTTTTTTTTGTGTTTCTTTGCTAAATAGTGATTGAGACAACAATAAGTATTTGCAGAATTTGTTTATTCAGCCACGGTTTGTAACGATGACAACCCTGTTGAGATTCATGATGCCGCTTAAAAACTTACATTTAAATATTCAGAGGTGGATCATTGTCCCTGTTTAACTTAAACTGAGTGAAGCAAGCATTGTGAGCAGGCTCCAAGGGTTAGCACATCTGTCTGTAAAATAAACTCATTAACTTGCAAACTTCAAATTGTTGGGCCATAAATGCTAGTTTTAGAAATAGAGCAAAAATAAAAACATATTTGCACTTCTAATGAAATTAAAGTTGAGATAATAATTTCTGATCTGCACTTCATGCTTCTATCGTTTAGTTTCATATGACATGCATGTAATATTTAGCAATGTTCTCCTGTGAATTTGTAGCTTTCAATACGATCCTTGTGTTACCTGCAAAGAAATACGTCCTGCCTCCATCGTCTGTTGTGGCTGCATTCAGTTTGACGTCGCTGCATTTAAGAGGTTTTCGATCTCCTCCATGACCTGCAGCCAGACACGAAATAAAGAACAAATAAAGCCATAAAATCCACAGTTATTCAATGACAGTGGTGGGATTTATCCTTAAAGAACTGACCAAAGTTGGGGCAGGTCATGAAGTAGCGGCGGGCGTCCTTGGGGTAGGCGCCGGTCACCTCTCCTGAGACGGGGTGGAAGCGGGTGAAGTTCTGCCCGTGGAAGCAGTAGTAGTGCTCGAGCCAGCGGAAAGCAGACGTGCAGGACGGCAGGTGGGACCAGGTCTTGGTCTTCACTGCTTTTGTGGCGATATCATAAACATGCACGTCCTGGCCTGGAGGGGCAGAGTTTTCACTGTTTTAACCAGGAGTTTTCTCTATGACAGTGTATTTAGAGCTATTGTAAAAGGGGATAAAAGGAGTAGATTTCTGACAAAAAATTGTGAAATTTTGTAGAATAAAACAAAGAAATTTCTGAGCACCAAAAGTCAAGGACTCAGAAATTTTCTAGATAAAAAGTAGAACATTTTAGACTTCTGAATCATCAAAAATGTCCTATAATAAAAAGGTTTCTACTGACAAACTGAAACAGAGAAATTTCCAAGTATTTTCTAGTAAATTTCTGAAATGAATCTCAAACATTCAGATTTTTTTTTCTTTTTACAAAATGTATGATTTTCAAACTTAGTAATTTCCATTTTTTTAAATAGAAACTTTCTGAAATTAATCAAAAAATGTATTAACTTTTTCCTGCAAACTCAGAAGTTTCCACGTTTTTTTCTAGAAAATTTCTGAATTTTCTTCCAACAAATGTTTGACCTTTCAAACTCAGAGCTGTTCTGTGTTTTTTCTAGAAAATGTCTAAAATTAATCTAAAGATTTCTGCGGTTTTTGGCTGAAATCTACTCCTCCTCCAGCCACCTTCTTCTCTACCATTTTCATAACTTGAGTTTCTTTTCGTGACATAAATATTTTAGCTCAACAAACCTTTAAAGAACAGAACCGAGTCAGCCATGCACTCTCCTTTGGGACACTCCACTGCAGCGTCCAGGTGAGTGGGAACTCCAGGAAAATCCTCTGGGATTTGTTTTGGATACCCTTCCTCCAGAGTTTGGTTGAAGTAACTGTACACTTTATCATCCTGGAAGTCAAATCAGAGGTCATCATGAGACAACACATTAGACGTCTCTATTGTGGAGTCACAGATGAATTTATTGTTACCTGGAAAAGGTAGATGTGATCGTGGTCGTCTGGGTTTTCGGTGTTGTGCATGCGGAAAGCGGCGTTAATAGGACCATTCAGTTCCTTAAAGTGCAAACTGGAGAGCTGAGCTGGACCAGTGAAGCCATTCCACACGTGATTACCTGAGAGGAAAAAACATTTTGGCATAAATTACAGGGTAAAAACAACATTAAAATGCAGTTTTTTGGGTTTAGAAGTTTCCCACACCTTTGAAGAAGAGAGTGTTTCCTTTTTCGTTAGGAGTGATGGCGTCAAATTCAACACCGGCACATCTGTCTGGAGCGGCAGGGCTGGTGCCTCCACCTGGATCACAGATAATACTGGCATTTTAAATACAGTGAAGAAACCTCAATGTATTTCCTTTGGATTTACCACAAAATAAATGGATTTACAAATCTTCAATTTCAACACCAAAGAAATACATTGAAGTATTTGGTTGTAGAGCGATAACATGTGAAATACTGGTAACCAGAAGGACTCACCTTCTACTGCTGCATCTTGTCTGTGAATGATAGAAATGAAATTACATTTTGTTCTCCAGCCCAACATTACACAACATTACTAAACGTTGAGTCAGCAGCCGATCAATGAGACCAGCTTATTTTATTGATCCAGCTGCTGAACTTTGTCAACCACCAAACAGAGTTGCATAACAAATTCATGTTTCTTCTTCAAAATTGAGACATTTAGAATATTTCTAAAAATAAATGAGAGCGTCTTGGATTTCTCATGACATTTGAAGAAAATGAACATAAAAATCTCACCTCGTGTTTAAAATATGAGGCTGTAATTTTAGCAGTTGTGATGCATCAGTACTTACAGCGGTGCTGCAGTAGAGACGGTGACCAGCACCAACAAAATCAGAGTTCTGATGATCCGCGGCTCCATGTTTCCTGTGCTTATGTCCTCAGATGTGGCTCCTCACGCTGGAACAGAGCTGGGAAGTGTAGCTGAGCAAGAGTTGAGCCTGTCCTTTTATACTGGTGTGTGTGTGGACCAGTTAGGAAACTCTGAGCTTGCATTGTGTGTTTGTTTGCACAGATATAGAGGTGGAAGTTTTGTTGTTGCATAATTAGTTTTTTACCGTCATTTACGGTCAGGCGTGATTGTTCTCATGTTCTTTTGCAAGTTTCTGAGAATACACGTTGTAGTAAAGGACTATAAGCAGATCCTTTAGTGACCATTTTATGCAACTTGCAAAGAAGCTAACAGATCAGCTTTGTTAATATTTTACAGACTTTTTCCATATCGGTCAAGTCAAGATTTGGCAAAACCCTTTGCTCAATTTTGCTAAATATTTAGCACCTTTTACATGTAGAAACCAATAGAAGATGTCAGTAAAATGATTTTATAGTCTGATTTTCAAAATAATTAACAAACACAAATGCCTAAATCCATTTTAATAATGTTTATTACAATACATTCAAATTGAAACCACATAGAAATCATCTTGACTTGATAGTTAATTTTAAAGAGAGATGCATTACGTTACTGTTGTGGTGTTTACAGCTTAATTATAAAGGATTACTATTAGAGCATTAATTCAACTTAAAATAAGAAAACATTGATCCTTGTGCACAAACCAGTCTGGTACTAAATCTAGTAAGGAAGAAATCCGGTTAGTTTTCTTGGAGTAAAGTTTGTAAAGTTATATTGAGAGACATCAACTTTAAACCTACAGTTGTTAATGCTGGTATTAAATGACCTCTTTTCTGGTACATGCAAGGTTTGGGAGACATTTTGTGAAAGATGACCCTTTAGGTATTTAACAATCAAACGATGAAGAGACAAATTCACCAGGCCGCAGATTCAACCATTAACACCAGCCTGTGCGACATATTTTTAAAAATGTCCACCTTTTGCAGTTCATTTGTAGCGATAGATCTTAATGCAGTGATTCATGCTGTCTGATACAACCATATGGCCGTCAGGGAGAAGCGCCAGCCCCCGTGGGCTATTGAGGTTGTCTGTCACAAGAGGCCAGCCCACACCTTTCGATGGGTAGATGAGTACACGGTGGTGTTGCTTTCCCCAGTCTGCCACTAAAACATCCCCATCATGGTCTATACAAAGGCCCCAGGGGCAGGTCAGGACAGGACCCAGGCCAGAGCACACCCCGAGGATTCTGATAGTGTTCCAGCCGGGTTCCAGGACTCGAATGCATGGAACACGACCAGTTTCGTTGCCTCTTTCTGACACTGCCATAAGACCAGTGGTGAGACAGGCTGCTACCAAATACGGTCGGTGATACCCAGTTACAACTGTACGTTCTAACTTTGCCCCAGTTTTGGGGTCCAACTTTAAAGCGGTTAAGGTACCACGCTTGATGTCAGCAACTACAAATTCATCTTGACATGTAACAGTGACCCCTCTCGGAGCATCCAGCTCTTCGTTTGTTGAACCAGTCATGGTGCCACCAAATGTTTGAAGAAGGCGTCCATGGCGGCTGAACACCAACAATGCTCGTTCAGCGGCACAGGTCAAGGCAATGAGGCCTTTTGAATTCACAGCCACATCAAAATAGTTGCAGATGCGGGAAGACCTATCTGATCCTGAAGGAGAGACTTGCTGCACAATGTTCTTCTGGAGATCTGTCACTTGGATTCGGGCATTACCACAATCCACCACAAAGAGCTGCCCTCTGGCGGTTGCATGAACACCACTAGGCAGATTGAAGTCAGTTCGGCCTGATCCTTGTTTACCAAATTGTTTGACCAGATGAGCTGAGTCCAAGGCAGCTAAACCAACGCCTTCCTCCGATTCCCTAAAAGGTATTTCAACTGTGTCTTTGTTGTCCTTGCTGCATAATATCAAGTCTCTGTCTTGATTTAGTTTATCACCATCAATGGCTGACATGGACAGAGATCTGCCAACACGGTTTACACTTAAACTATGCGTACCCCGAGTTTGAGATCTTGATTGTCTTTTAGGGGTGATGATGCTCTTGTTAGACTCCGAGTTTCCTTGACATTGTTCAAATGCTGAAGGTTCTGAGGTGAGACGCATTCTATTGACTCTTCTCAGTTTTCTGCACTCAGTCTTGTCATCGTTCATCAAAAGGTGTTCCTTTCTAGAAAGGTCAGTGGTGGAGATTGAGCAGCAGTGATCCTGCTTAAGAGATCCATCCCATAGAGTATCTACAGTGTAAGTGTGGCAGGAATCTTCACTCTCAGCTGGGGATGAAGGACTTCCACTGTCCACTGATGTTTCCTTTAAGGTGTTTGTCCTTGAAAGGCTTTGTTCTGAAAGAACAAGATGTTTTGTAGAAGCTTCTACAAGATTGTGTCTGGAGACTGAACCCTTGCATCTAGCTTTTGAAAATGTTGCTGCATTGCTTCCTTTGTCATCACTTTCTCCCAGAGGACATGATGGTTCTTCACATGAGACCATAACAAGGGCTTTTTGCCTTCTTTTACCTTTCACCGTGTTGCGTCTCTTTGTTTCATTATTTCTGCAATCAGACTCATCGCCTTCTGATTCTGCTTGACTGGAGACAGATGGAATAGCAAGAAAAATATCTTGCCCTTGTGTGTCTGAACAGACAGATTCTACCTCTTCATCTTGTGAAGATTCTGATACCTCACGATGTCTTTGAATTGGAGACTTTGTTGATTTCGGCTCATCCTCGTTCTCTGTGGAGCTTGAAAGATGTAGTTTCCGGACAACACGAAAATTCCCACTGTTTATCCTGATGTTCTCTACTGGACTGCTCCTTTGCACACCTCTGTTTGGTTGGGGTTCCTTTTGGATTTCACGAGGATTTATGTTTGAGAAATTTGTATTACCAGAGTGCAAGGCACATTTGTGTCCCTGGTCACCACAAACTCCAATGTGGTAAGTCATCCCCTGTTCACGAATATCAATCTCCCCAAAATTTAAAGTCTTGTACAGGGAGCTTGAAAGAAAAGTTACCCTTTTCAGGGTTAGAGAGATTTCCCATGGTTGCGTAAGCTCTATTACACCTCTTTGAAGCTGATTTTTATTTGATCCATCAGCCATAAAACCCCATCTCTGAATCTGTTCCTTCAACTGAGCAATTTTACGAATTTGCTGATCAACAAGTGACTGCACAACTCTCACAGCTGCAGAGTTTTCTCTCTTCACTTGACTAAGGTGTCGCTGGGCTTCTCTGTAGTCCTGCTCCACCTTTTCAAGGAGGCGTCGCTCCTCTCGCTGAGCTCCAATCACTGCATTGTCCAGCTCACGGTTTACCTCCTCCACTTCGGTTTGCTGTCGCTCTCTTAGGGTCTGAAGTTCTTGTTCTCCTTTCTCCAGTGTAGAAAGTGCCTCTGACACCCAAGGAGGCGATAAAGTAGAAGATTGTGTTTTAAAAATGGAGTCCCGTGGGGTAAAGTACATAGGAGATGAGAAGGTCACATCTCTCTCTTTTGGAGTGCTGAGTGTCAGTAAGGCTGAGAAGCCAGGGAGAGCTTTTCTCTCAGAGTGAGACCTCAGTAACATCGTGAATGGTAAATTTCAGAAGCCACTTTTAAAGGGGGTTCACCTTTCTTTCCGTTTTATGTCTGTGAAAACAAAGAAAGGCAACACACTATAACAGCATAACATACAAAGGTGTTCCTACTAACTGAAGGGAGTAAAACATAAAGTCCTTCATGTCGTTTCTATGTTTGTATGCCTTTGAAACATAGACTATCTCTATGCCATAATGCCTGAGTGACCATGTCTCTGTGTATTGAGTTAAATGCTTGACCATCTTCTGACAAACTATCTGCGGCTTCCTCTTCAGCCCAATTAATTTTTTTCCAACAATAGAAAAAAGGGGACTTATTGCCAAAAGCTTCAATTCATATACGCATCTTCTAATTGTTACCGTACTCAGAGGTGACTGTAGATCTGCTTTGATTACCTTGGAGCTCAACATTGGCTGAGTTGTTGTCATTTTAGCTATTCTTTCTAATTTTGTTCAATTTTAATTATTTTAGGGTAATTTTAGCCAAACTAGTGTGGTTATATACCAATAGATCATTAAAATATCTGTGTCATAGAAAACCGTTATTATCATTTGTAGCTAACAGGTAACATAACAGCTTAGGTAACATAACTCCTCACCTACACAGACACCCTTTGTTGTATTGAACATTACTTTCTCAGTTCTTCAGGAACTCTAACTGACCTTCCTGTTGACTGAGGTGTATCACATAAACCCTAAAAGGACGTGTGTCTGTTTTAAAACTGGGACATGGGTTTGCTTTCATTGTAACTTTACCTGGACAGGATTTGGTTTCTCATCTCAGGTTGCCAATGTTCTGTTTCTGAGAGGTTAATGAGGTATTCAGACCACCTACTGCTGCTCAATCTCCACCACCAATTTTATTTTACGTTTCCCAAAAAGGAGGTTAATATTTTAAACTGGCTTATATCCTATCAATCTCACCAGCTTATTTGGTTTCCATATGTTTCAAAACCAAATACGTTTTTTCCAATTCACAGTTATGGTCTATGTTGTGCTGGGTTATCACTTATTGTACAAAGAAAATACTTGTTCAATGACAAAATGTAAAAAAGTATTAGGGGTATTAATATTTTTGTACATTACTACTCTGGACTTTGGTGCCTTTTAACAGGCTGAAGGAAAACAAAAAGGCTTTTGCTCGGCTGAAAGAGGCAGGTGTCAGTTTACCCCCACACAGCTACACAAAGGGACCTTTGGAAACATCCAACCTCCAACAGTCTATTGATTATTTTGGGCTCTAATTAAAATTTTATGAACAATCAAATATAGCATGTTGATAAATGTGTTGGTCAGAGTGAGAAAAACTTCAGTTTATCTGTCAACAACAAATCCCTGTCAAACCTCTGGACTGGAAAAGTTATGTTGTCTGAAGTTACCCCTTTTTAATTTTGAATGAGAATCTCTAATTGCTAAGCTACCAGGTGAATTTAGCACATATGATATTCATAACTGAGAAGATATTCAGATCAACTACAGTTCGACACTTAAAAGAAAAATATCTATGTTATCATTCTTTTACACTATGTTTACACACAGCACTGACCGTAACACCTAAGCGTTTTTAAATACTGCAAATATAAGGTATATTTACCTGAGTTCAAGGTGTGTGCTTCTTCGTTTCCTGCTGCCTCTGGTCTGAGCTGCAGTGGTCTGTTTTTCTACCCTCCTCTCCTCTCTGCCACACCCCCATCTCACCCTTTAACCCTCCCTCTCTGTGTCATCATACACTGACACCTTGGATTACAGTCGCTTCAAAATGTCAATCCATTTTACCAGACTTTAGAGAAACCTTTGACAATATTCCTGGAAAACAAAAATCAATAGTTAATCATATTTTAAGATTTTCTGTCATAAACAGGTAGAAACAGGAGCAAGTTAAACAAACAATAGAAGAAACAAAGTGGTTTATTGAAAGTTGCATGCAATCTCAAATAATAAAAAACTTAAACCATAACTCAAACAAGAAACTCCACAACAAAACTAAACTGTTATCATTTCAGAAATATGATTAAATATGCTTGATACTAAGTAGTCAGAGGTAGGTAAAGTAACTTAAAATGTACTTAAATATACCTTATGCATAATTCTACTTAAGTAAAAGTACAAAGTAGACACCAAAGGATCATAACACCCAATTTAATATGTTACAATAATGTCCTCTGACAGACAAAACAAAGTTAACTTTAAATTCTAGTATATAAAACATATATACCAGAAAAAGATAAACTTTTCTACATGTTTTTCCAACTACACAATGTTGAAACCAATACTTACAGAATGTAAGATACACAGTTCAGTGTGAAATATACTGAGGTGGGCAGTTGCATTTACTCACATTTACTTGACTAACTTAGTTTTTGGAGTACTTTTACTACGCTATTCTTTTTACTTTTACTGAAGTAATTTTATTAAGATCTATCTCGACTCTTACATGAGTAAAATAGAATCTCTACCCACTATGAGTAAACTTCACTGTATTAAGAACAACCTTGTTTTAATAAAAAAAATCACCAGATAAAGAGACATGCCTGCAGTTTTGTCAACGTTTCATAAACTTCATAGTGAAAGAAATAGACAAGGATTTTTTTTCTTTTGTCTGCTTTTGTTATTTTTTAAATATGTTATTTCTGTTAATTATTACCTAAAATTTACATGTAATTCACATTTTGTTCCATTCAATGATGTCATACTTTTTTACTCTACTTTTTATTTTTACTTGAGTAAAATTTACCAACCGCCGGGGGGCGGTAATGCGCCATGTTGACAACCTCTATTAAAATGTCGAAGAAGACGTGCTCCGTGCTGCGCATGCGCTGCATATTATCCGGGAAATTTGACATGGGTGGAGGAAAATGGGCTTGGCAGCACACGTGTCTGTCGAGAAGAGTGTGAATTGACAGTCTAAATCCTGAAAAGTCTCCAAAAGCCTCATTGTGTTCACACAACCTGCCAAAACCAACACAGCCGTTAAAACATTGCGGTGGCTAACAGTAATGCGACACGAGACCTCAGGCGGCTAACCGCTAACTTACGGTTTGGGTCGCTAATTAGACAACAATAATGCTATTTTTGGCCGAAGTGCAGTCACAAAAAATAAAAAGTGAACCACAGACCCTGCGGCCGATTATAAATGTATGTGGAGCATTAAATATAAACTTTATATGTGTTGATTTCTCACCGAGTGAGCTGATATCCACTCTGGTTTCAACAGACTGATTCTTTTTCTCATTTATCATTTAAAGATGAGCCATAAAATCCTGAAGTTTGATGCTCACACAGCCTGACGTGATGATCGGGAGATAACTTCATCTACTTAACAGACTACATCTCTACTTTGACAAGTGGTGAGTTTAACTTGTTTTTAATCTAGCTTCTTAATAATGTTAATTATATATGATGTGTAAAATCACATTAGTGTGGCCTGATGGTGTATTAAAGTCCTTCAAAACACGATCTAAATTGAAATACAGCTGAGGATATAATCGAAACGGGTGTCATATTTACTTAATTAGTACTTTTGGAAGAAGATTAGATCCATTGAAAAGAAAGAATTCAAATAAAAAAATCTGGATTCTGAGATTCAATCAAAATTTTTCCTTTTTACGCTGAATTTAGATTTTTTTTCTCCGAGTTGTAAGTAAAAAGTCAGAATTTGTTAGTTTATTAGAACATCAGTGTTGTGAACTGTGCTGTTATACTGTTAACAGCAATCTCTCCACATGCTCTGGCTTCACGACATTTAAAATGGGTAAAATCCTCAAAACAATACATAAATACTAATATCAACTGTATCTGTCTATTCTATGTTTCCAATAAAAATGAAAACAGATTCTTTCTTTCTAGATTTATACATAATACATATAAAATGTTAAATTACTAACTTAAATTTATATGTGCACACTGTCTCACCAAAGTGCATGACAGAATTTATCCACTAGATGTCAGCAAATACAAAGACCTCACCTCCGACTGCCTGATTTGTTTTATTTAAAATAAGACAATTCTGGCCCATATACAGATACAGAGCAAAAACTATTAGGAAAATTGCGTCTGATTGATCAGAAATAAATTTATTTCTTGTCCTTGTTGAAGAAAACCGTAACATCATGCAGTTTCTGATCTTGATAATAAAGATTCTATTTCCAAATCATCATTATTTGCATTTTGCTTGAGTGAATTTGTGTCTTCAGGCATGAGAAACTCCACTTGCTTTGGTGTCAATCAAAAGTACAATTAGTTTTACAACTTAACATTGATCTGCACTGAATTTTAAATTGACATGTTCACTTTGTCTCCTCTAAACATTTTTTGAAAAGAAATTTCAGCAATATTCTGGATATTTGTTGCCCTTCTTCAGGAGTTTAACTTTGATTTCTTCAGTATAAAAAGAAAGAAATGCCTCAGAAAACATATAATATTGTACAAAAAATAACATGTTTTGACCGTCTCACATAGCACCACCATGCTGCGCTGTTTTGTCCTGCACGGTGGTGGCTGCATCATGTTACGGTTTTCTTCAACAAGGACAAGAAGAGTCATCAAAGTTGAGGAGTTTATGGAAGAAAAGCTGTCAGAGGCTGGAACAGAGAAAAATAAGAAGATCCTGCAGTGAAGCAACTACATTTTGTCATAATTTTGCACTTCTGTGTTGGTCTATCACATAAAATCCCAGTAAAATACACTGAAGATCTTCCTTGTTCATGAAAACCATCCCCACATCATGATACTGCCACCATCATGCTTTGCAGTTTTTCTTTTGTATTTCCAATGGAAAGATTTAAGGATAGTTGAACTGCAGGTTTATCGGCTGCCATTGTTTGGCCGATTACAATCTTTAAAAAAGCTTTACATTTCAATTTTGGTCAATACTGGGTTTTTTTTTTTGTCTGAAAAGTTGCTAAATGTGGCAACTTATTAACTGAAAACATGCAGACATGAGATGGTGGGCGGGGCTAACAGTCAAACCTCTTTCAAAGCAAAGCAGAAGAGGACAGTGGTTGATTATTAGACCTTTGCTGAGGTAGATAAGATCCCACCAGGAAGAAAAAGTGGGACAGATTTTTCCTAAAAGAGAACTATACACAATCTTGCTGACTAGCGGCACTACGACTTATTAGCGCCAATTTCCTTAAGGTTAGGAAATGGATGATACTTGCACATGTAGCCGATCTGATCTATCTAAAAATCAACGGCTATTCTCTTCTGCTTTGCCTTGAGGGAGGTTCGACTGGCTCACCAGTTCTTATCTGCGTGTTTGTAGTTGACAATATTTACCCCAAGACTTTCTTCAGGCTTTTTATATATCGGTAATCGACAATCGGTGCACCCCTACTGCCCAGTCTTAAAACGTTGTGCATGTGGTGTGGAATTTTGTCTTTGTATCTAATAAGACGACCTGTGAGCAGCAAGAGTTCCACCAAACACCTTCTCACCAATTATCTCCACCCGCACTCCCAAACACACACACACACACACACACACACACACACACACACACACACACACACACACACACACACACACACACACACACACACGCACGCACGCAGGGAGTGCTGCCCCCTGGACACAGATGGGTCCAGAGCCGTCACTATTGCTGGATGTCACACGGGGTCCTACAGGCTGTCTCGCTCGGTGCCGTGACTGATTATTTCCATCTTTCGCTCTGTCAGGAGAGATGGGAAATCATACGGGCCTGAGGTGGCGCTTCGTTATTGATATCACTGTTAAAAGTCTCCGATCCAGCTGCTCGCCTCGCCTGCGACATCGCTGCAATTAAATCTACATGCTGCTCCCAGCCTGTCTGTGTGGCAGAGAGTAATGGCCCCAATAGTTACTGTAACAAAACAATAATGGGATTCATCATGGCAGCAGAACAACCACATACGTTCATGTATACATATATTTTTCTGGGCCTAATATGACAGCGGGGGATAATGGCTTTTATTATCACCTAAAATAAATGTGAGCAACACAATAAATTAGCTACTAAGTGGACTTGTTGTGTACAAACAATTGAGAATAAGTTTGTAAGCTTCTTTCATACATGGAATTAGGAAGACAGTAAAGAAATTCATATTGCACTCTTCTCTTCCACTTTGCATACAAAAGGCAATATTAGGTGATGAATATGGTAATGGTCCTCATTCTAGTGGGACTATCTCCTTTCAGAGTGGAAGATCTGGTTCGGCTGTTAGATTCGATTAATTCCTCCTCATGCCACTCCTCATTTCTGTCCCCCCTCCACCGCCACGTCCTCTCTAACACTTTCAGGCCTATGATATTAGACGAACAATCGCAGAAACAAAACGAGCTGGAACAACCAGGATGGGAACAGATGGCACATAATTGCCTCGTGCAGGAAGCCAGGGAGTCAATTTTTACCCATCCTGGGGGAGTTGGGAGTTGCAAGGAGGAAAAAAAAAAAAAAAAAAGTGCAGGTGCATTAGTTTTGATCAGCTCTGGCCCGGAGGAGGCTTCTAAAAAATATTCATCACACGCACATTAAGGAGAGGGAATTTAACAAAAGCTTTGAGGGATGCGACGGCGAGCTTCGGTCGGGATAAGATGGAGATGAGTGGCTGAGCGAAGAGCAACAGATGCACCGTGAATGAATATCGCAGCAAAGTGTTGCAAAAACTGTCAACGTCTCAGAGGGTAGCAGTCTGTCCACAGATTCACTAAGCACAATTTAGGATAATAATCAAAATAATATTATTTAAAAATACTGACATTTGTAGGAAATATAATCACTTTTCTAAGATTTTATTTGTATTTCACAATTGATTTGTATGAAAACATTTTTACAAAAATGTTGCTTGTTAATGAACAATAACACTCAATATAAAAAGATAATAATCACACTTCTGTATAAACAATTCAAATAATTTAATATATTATTATTATAGTATATCCTCATGAACTTTTACTGCTGGAATTTATTTACAATTCAATAATCACTAAAATTAGTGAAATTAAGCCAATTTTTTTTATTTGAATACTGCACATCAAACATGCATAAATGTAGGCATTTTTAATGAAATATGATACATTTAGCTTGAGTGTTTCCAATGCAGTCCTTGGTATGTGTAAAATATGCATCATCCAGCATTAGTGGGACGCATGTGTCAGTGGGAGGAGAATCTGGGACGGACCCAGAACGTTTTGTTCTCAGAATGTTTTTCTTCCAATGTTGGCATTTTGAGATCGGTTGGTCTCCTCTGCAATACAGGCAGATGCCCAGGAGGTTAGGAAAGAAACCTTTTTGTTAAAGGTCCTGATTGCGGTGATCAGCCGGTACTTTAACTGATTTTATTTACTTCAGCAAGTGTCTGAAAATCAGCCATATTGTTTTGAAATTATTGTGTAGTAATAAAAGATATTGGCGTAATGGTGCAAAAACACATTCTCAAAGATCTGGAAGACATTTTAAATATCCAAAATAAGTAAACATAACAAATAAAATGAATTATAAAATCTCTGTAAACAAAAAAGGATAAAAAAAAGTGAGACTGAGGACTTTTGTCATTCAGTTTTTTGTAGAAACAAAGAGAGAAAAGAGAAAAACGGTAAATCATGCAGGTGGAAATGATTGAGTTTGTTGTAAATGATTATGCAATTAATTAATTTATTTCTTATTGCGACAGGCCTATGCATTACTGCTTTTTGTTTCTCTGAAGCACCGTGAATAAATTGTAATTTTTCAGAAATAAATTCAGTCATCAAGAGCAGCAAGTCAAAATAACATTTTAAAACCGATTAAAATATCTTCTAAACGACCCATCGTATTAAAAGGTTCTGGAGATCTTCTGATTTTTCTAATAAGGGTGATGAAAGTTGCGTGATGTATTTGTGATACTGATAAAAGTTGAGCTGTATGTTCACAGTGGTGGGGTTCAGTCCAGCCCACAAAGCTGGATAACACTATTTGTCTGTAGCTGCTCCATCCTTGGACATGAATCAGTCACATATTGCACTGAGATGAGTTCTTGTTCCGCTGTCCTCTGAGCGCTGACCACATCTGTTCAATTACCAGCATGGAAAGTGCATTACCATTGGCTTTGTTGTTGGAGATGCTTGATTTTCTTAGTAAAAAGCGGATGAATTTATAATGCTGTGATCTCGTCTGTTGTGAATCTCTTGAGCGGGCCGAGGTCCCCGGATCGGAATAAGCATTTTGATGAGCTGTAGACGTCTCTTCTTTTTACAATCCCAAACTTGCGCTGGCTGCCCAATACCAAACTAATAAATTACAGCCCCCGTCTCCCACATAACTCACTGATAAATAAAAAAAGGTCTGCCATGGTGTGCAGCTGTGACCCAGGGTTACCTAGCAACAGGTCAT